GCCAATAGGAACAAAACAGAAATACTTCCTCCCTGGAATCTGAGAATCTGTCAGCCTCTCTCTTTCCTTTTTCCTGCCTCCCTCTTCCCAAGTTCCACTTTGAGCAACATTCTTACATCAGTGTTGAAGGAAACACTCACACATTGGAGGCACACGTGGGGAGAGGACAAGGCAGCCCCCAGAGCAGGAGACAGGCATTGGAGAACCACCAAAGCACAAAGCAATATAGGAGCCCATCACATTTCTCCTCTGGAGAATATTCTATTTAATATGCAAACCAGTCATCAAGAGAAAAGAGGGCTGTTACTTTAAGGGGAAGAAGCTGATTAGCTGCTCTGGCTGGCAGCAAACAGCTGGTCTGTCCGGCAGGTTCAAGGCCATTTCAGCTTCTCTCTTATGGAGGCACCATATGTTCCATCTCGCACATCAGCAGCTTTATTTTCCAATGATCTTGCTCCAGAAGGGAAGCAGAAAGGGGGGAGGAGAAGGTAGAGCTCGTGGTTTACCCCTTGAGCACTTTCTTGTGGTTTTAGATGCAGTTGGGATGTGTATATTGGAGGGGGTTGGGGGAGTTAACGCTTCACCTCTATTCCAAAGAGCAGAGAACAAATGTTCGACTAACACTTACGAATAATCTCCAGGGAGGGGAGGGGAGTGGTGTAGGGGAAGGATATTTGAAAAGGCACAAATAACATGTCGCCATGAGGTTAAATAGGAAGAAGGGGTGGAGGCAGTGGCGACAGAGGACCCGGAGAAATCTGAATTTCACTAAGCTCTGAGACCTAACAGTAGAGTTTGGGCTCCGCCCACTTCACCTTATTTGTCAGTTTTTCTTATTGTCAGTATCCCCTTTCGAACAAATGAACAAACTTTGCTAGGAAACAAGCGGGCTGGCCGCTTTGGGGAATGGGGACTGAGCAGGCCAACAGGCTGACAATAGGTTACTTCTCACATTATGTTTAACATTTCTCAGTGATAGGAGTCCCGCAAGTTTGTGAGGTAAGGCAGGTGTAAGGGATAGGGGCCGGCTAAATCCTGGACACCCCCAAGGGCCAAGCTCTGGGTCCCTGCAGAGGTGCCTGCCCTGGCTGCAAGAAATCGGAGGTGGCGGTTCTGATTCCCTCCCTGACTAAAAACAAAGGGGTCCCAGGGAGCATTGGAACTTTGTGTGTCTGGTGGGTGTGGGGGTGGGTTGGGGAGAAGGTGGCAGAAAGGCGAGGGAAAGAGTGATGCGTGTAGCTGCGTGGTGGCGAAAGCCTCAGAGTAGCTACAGTCGTTTCAGCCATCATCTTACGACCGACGCCTGGCGGGACAGATGCCATGAGCCTGGGCGGCGAGGGACGAGAACTGAAAAGCGAAACCGAAGAGAAGGCGCCCCCTCTGCCCGCGCCCAGGGAGCGCAGTGGCAAGCTGCGTCTGCCC